GGGGGGGGGGCGATAAGGAAGGGGAAGGGGAAGAAATGTGGAGTCTCACTTCAACTCTGTCCTCCTGATCCAATGTGCTCCTGTTTCTGAATGGATTAACTCACCGAATTGGATAAAGGGCGTGGCAGTCCCCTGAAGCGCTTTTCTGCCTCGTGCCACGTGGGATGTCATCAGAGGGAGGGACATCTTCCATGGTCTTTGGAAAGTGAGGGGGAGATCGGGGAGGTAAGAGGGGCAAATGTTGGATATGAGGAGGGAGGGTCGTGTGAAGCAAGAGATGGTAAGGGGGAAAGGGGGAGAGAGGATTCATGGGGGGATGTGGAGGAAGACAGGGAAAGGAATAGATGTAGTGGAGGAAGGAGAGGAGCGAAAGGGGAACGAGAGGAACGAGAGGGGAGTGAGAGGAACAAGAGAAATGATAGGAAAGCCATAAAGGTGCATGAGGACGCTTCCATCGTCGTCCTGGATTCCATCGCTGTGCTTGTCCACTCCTACATCACCCGTTCGACACCAAGCCAGTGAACAGTGCCTAACACATAGCATACGCAGCAGCAATAGGGTCATGAAGCATATGGTGCCACTAAGCAGGATCGCGAAGTGCTTGGACGAGGTACAAAGAAATGCATGCAGCATAGAGCAAGGTGGCAATGCAGAGCTTCGGCTGCAGGGATAGAAGAAGGAGCAAGTATGGCATTCAATGATGGCGAGGGGGATAGGGCGTTCAAGGGGACAGCGCGCAATGGGTTGTGTACTGCTTGACCGAAGCACAACTAGGTGCAAGACTGGAAAGACAAAGTCAGGGGGATGCTCACGCCAGGAGCATTACCACTTTTTCCCCGTCGTGCTTATCCTCCTCCTGGTCCCATCCGCGAAGAAATCCATGCCGCATGCAGTCACACTATTCTCCCAAAAAGTATACTGGAACACACCGCACCACAACCGATGTTAAGTTTAGTCGACGTACGGTGGCCCGATAGACAGTACCTCATGGGTTCTATTGTAATATAGTCGCGGTATACCAAGTTCTGCCGAGATTAGCATACTTCCAATAGAAGGTTTCATCCGTTGCCATTCGCTTGATTTACTAATCTGATGGTCACGGAAAAACGAGCTGATTCTGCAAAAAAAAAATCAAGAGATAAAACAGAACAAAAAAGGAACAACAAAAAGGACAGAAAAAGCGAATGAAATAAAAAGGGTGAAATGTTCACGCTTAGGGTCTGATAGCTTGCATGGAGCTGTGCTTTTCCGGACCTCCGGCCCTTGTCGCCGTGTGCGAATCAGCCAAAGAACGACTTACTCCCCATGCACGCCAATCAAGCTGCCCGTTGGAGTCCGAGGGGCTTATTCACCAAGGCCCGCCGCACCCATGTCCTTCTGGAGCACAGACCAGAGGAGTGATGATTTTCGACATAAAAGAGATTGCAGACAGTTTTGTGAGGCAAGAAAACAACATCATTATTTAAGAAATCAGTAACATCAGTTATGGCATGGACCATGATGTCGTTGTCCCACAGCTCCCAGTGGTCAAAGGCATGGACGATGGTCATGAAATGGCCAGGTCCGTGCACAATGCACGCAGAGATGTGGGATGGAGGATTAAATCACACACCCGTTGTCCCACAGCTCCNTCCCAGTGGTCAAAGGTATGGACGATGGTCATGAAATGGCCAGGTCCGTGCACAATGCACGCAGAGATGTGGGATGGAGGATTAAATCACACACCTGCTCGAGTTGGCGGTCCCTCATTGCTACTTGTAGGACAACGATGGTAAAGCCTTTTTCCCTAATATAATTACAGTCCTTTGGCGGTACGGGGGGGAGATCAGCAACAAGTTGAAGGGCGATAGCAAGGAAGTCTGATGGTGTATAAAACGGGTCGTGGCGAGTGTGAAGACAGATATTGGTTACCGTTAGGCCACAGAGAATTGAGGGTCTCAGGCTGGTGTGCGGGATGCTGGCCACCGATTTGCAGATCACCCAGCTGGTGTTGCAAGCCCAAAATGTGTTGGGTTGTTTGCTGATCAGTAATTTGTAGATCACCCATATGGTCTGCGCATGGAGGGGCACAGATTTGTGGTTCGTCCAAATGATGCTGGTCAGCCATTTGCAGATCCCCACGTGGTTCACACCTTGTTGGGTTAACTGCAATCTAGGCAGATCATGTTCCAATCCCTCAATGTTTGGGGCCGCATCCTGACCGGGGGCTGTCCCGGGAATCGGGACTGTACGCTGGACAGGGACCACATCCTGTTGTACAGGTGGAACATCTAACGCTGAAGGGCATAAGACATGGTGTCGTGGCTGCCTACAGGCAGCTGGACTGCCTGTCAAAGGCATAGGAGTGGATATTGCCATTTGGAGCAAATGAACCGCAACAACCTGTGGAGCAAGGACAA